GAAGGAAGTATGTAATGTAAGAGGAGGGACACACAGCACACCTGGGAAGCAAGCCTGAGAAAGACGCCGTGGGAGAGGAAGGGAGGGTAGGCAGGTGCTATTAGGATGAGGGATGAAGGAGGCGGTTTTGGAGTGGAGCTTCCTGAAGTGCTGAAGGAAGGTGATTGCAAAGTGGTTTGGAGATGGGAGAGACTAGAGGAAGAGGAAATGGACAGGGGAGCCCAGTTCTCTTCTTACATGTTTTAAATGAAATGAAATTGAACACATTAATGAGAAGATAATAGAAGTGACTTAGCCAGAGAATTCATTCTAACCAGTGCAGTCAAACACTAGATAAAACATTAGATTACGGCCTTCCAAGCTTGTTCTGAATTTCTGAAGGGGAAGTTAATTATATAGTTTAGACCTGCTGCTTGATTTTCTCTGAGAACCGCACTTCCCCTAAAATGCCTTTGAATTAGCTCCTGATTTTTTTCTCTTTTCTGTTGAAGCCCTTTTTTTTTTTTTAAAGATTTTGTTTTTTCCTTTTTCTCCCCAAAGCCCCCAGATTCATAGTTGTGTATCTTTAGTTGTGGGTCTTTCTAGTTGTGGCATGTGAGATGCCGCCTCAGCATGGCTTGATGAGCGGCGCCATGTCTGCGCCCAGGATCCAAACCGGCAAAACCCCTGGCCACTGAAGTGGAGCATGTGAACCTAACCACTTAGCCACAGGGCCGGCCCCAACGCCTTTTTTAAAAGGGACCATGTAGATGCTACCCTCAGCCACGGGGTAAATGAGCAAAGAGGACCAGTCAGTGGTCTGTGTAATCTAGATGAAACGTACAGGGGGGGCCGGCCCGGGGGCGCAGCAGTTAAGTTCACATGTTCCGCTTCTCTGCAGCCCGAGGTTCACCGGTTCGGATCCTAGGAGCGGACATGGCACTGCTTGGCACACCATGCTGTGGTAGGCGTCCCACATATAAAGTAGAGGAAGATGGGCATGGATGTTAGCTTAGGGCCAGTCTTCCTCCGCAAAAAAAAGAGGATTGGCAGTAGTTAGCTCAGGGCTAGTCTTCCTAAAAAAACAAAAACAAAAACAACGTACTGGGGCACTGAAATCATGATCTGGGGCTTTCAACGAAGAAAAACCATCACAGGTAGTCCCTATCTGGCTGTCATTATCTGGCTATTAAGACCTTCTCCCCACCCACGCAAACAAATCCTTAAGAGTAAATGTAAAAGAAATTATAAGTATATATAAAATATATATACATTTGTATATATATATGGGCATATATATGTATACACACACAGTCATGAGTCACTTAAAGATGGGGATACATAGAGAAATGCATTTGTAGGCAATTTCATCATTGTACGAACATCATAGAGTCTACTTACACACACCTAGATAGTATAGACTACTACACACCTAGGCTACATGGTACTAATCTTATGGGACCACCATTGTATATGTGGTCTGTCATTGACCAGGATGTCATTATGCGGGGTGTGACTGTATATATAATCAGGAATACACACACACAAATACATGATGGAAGATGTGGGATAATAGACATGTTCGGGTAATCCTCTAATTTAGCCAATAGTTTTAAATTTTCTGTCATGAAAATTTACCAAAAATTTGTCTAAGCAGTCATTGGTAATACAATGAAAAAGCTTGCCTCTATGAAGTTGCTGGCTTGTTGGAATGGTCCCAACAAGGTGGCAGCAGGCAATAAAAGGCTAAAACACCCAGAATGATTAGCATCTGTGGAGCAGCTCACCTTCTGGATCTTCCTGCCTGCTAATGCGGATGAGGAGGACCTGAGTGAAACCATAGAACCTTTGTGGATATTGACAAGTGGAAGGATTTCCACTTGTATTTTGAGCTGTACAGGAAAAGAAAATCACAAAACCCTGACTTAAGTAGGACCAACTCTCACTGAGATTTTCCACTTTGCAGAGCCAAAGATAAAGTAATTAATTAAATTAAGAATTGTTACAAATACTTTCACTGGGAAACACTGAAGTATACAACTACTTATATTGAATATACAACTATCTACAATAGGTTAATTTTGTTTTTTTTTTCCCTCCAGCTTCTTACAGATCTAAACTACCTCTATAATTTATTTTTAGGATTGTGGTTCCAAATTATATCTCTTTTCACATAGTTTAAGACTATTCCCAAGAAACTGCCTGCAGTAGGGAAAAGCTAGTATGTCTATTCACATACAAATACCCAAGGGACACAGTATTTATTCACAGGACATACTATTCACATTTGCAGGTGAGTTGCTCTGGGGTTACACTCACGTAGGAGTGGGGCTGAGTGCACCTATGTCTTCATGCCTCCTCCAGCCTAATTACTCTCAGAGCCAAATTCTAGAATATCTGCTACTCTTGGCAGGGTCTGGTCCTGTTGGGGATTCTCTGTAAACTCTGCTCTCAGAATACACAATTTTAGATTTTTTAAAGCAAAATAAAACAATAAGACTACCTCAATTCTTATCACTGCTTGCTCAGCTGATCTGTCTGCTGCCCAGCTTCTCAACTGTGTCCCTCCAATGTATCTTTTGTTGAAAGTTCCCTATAGTTTAGTGGCAGCGGCTTTATTTTCTTGGATTCACCCATCTACCTTGTCTGACTGAGTTACCATGAGCATAACTTAGGAGGACTTGATGATCTCTTAGATCTCATTCTTGGTAACTTTCCCTTCAATTCTACATTAAGTAGGGTCATAAGGACCAAACATTCAACCCATGGCAAGCGAGTACAAAATATCATATCCATACTAGAGACTTCATCCTTCTATTGATCAATGTAGCAAGAATTTGGGACCAACTTGAAGCCATATATTATAACCGAGTCTTAAGTAATGTGCTAGTTACCATCTCCATCTGGCTATTCGATAATTTTCTGTCGATAGACCTCCGAGCTAGCTTTCCAACTCAGTATCTTCTCTGGAGAGTTTTGTGTTGAAAATCCCCTACCGAATGTGGTTATGAGTTAGGTCTCCTTCAAGGGGATTGCTCTTCTGGCTGCCTATACAAAGCAGCCCTCTCTGGTATGCTTGCTTTGTTGAGAATCATCATCCACAGGAACAGTTCCTGAATAGCTACCTCAATGATTTTTAAGTACACTTGCAACTTGCTGACTTGGGGAACTTTCCAGAGGACAAAAAGCATGTTGTAACGCTTCCTACTAGGTTCTAAATCCAAAAGCTTGGTCTGTCAAACTGCAGGGGATTCAGACGACTTGCTGTGGAACTTTATTTTCTTACTTCAGAGAAGGGTAAAGTGATCCTTGTTTTGCTTTGTTTTATGTTATAGAAGGATACACGTGGGCAACTCTCCTGGAGAACTTCTGTGTTCTTTCTAGTTTTGTCTAAGTCTGTGATACTTACTGTCCATTTGAGGCCATTTGTCCTAAGTCTGGCCTTTTAGCTTAAGCTTCTTTTACTAAGCCTTGTGTTCTGCCATCCCATTCATAAACACATACACTACTCAGTAGTCCTACAATCTTCCAAGATGACAGTTGACCTTTTTTGGGCTCTTGTTATGCATTGAGTATCATTGTAATTATAAGCATTAACTCACTTAATCTTCGCAACAGCCCCATGATGTAGGTATTAGTGTTATTCCCATTTTATAGAAAAAGAAATTAAGCCACAGGGAGGTTAAGTAACTTTAATAGCTACTAAATGAGGAAGCTAAGATTCCAGTTAAGACCATCTGATTCCAAAGCTTCCTTACCTAACTCTAAGCAGACTCTTTCTGGCTGGGCAGCTACAATTCTTCAGTCAAAGGAGTGTGTGTTCTGAAATACAATTTGGAGACCCAGAAATTAAGGATAAATAGCCACTCTAGTCCCATTTTTTTTTACATTTTTTAATATCTGTTTCTCTAGATAGCCCTTGGGTTTGTTAATTCTTTTTTTTTTTTTTTTTCCTTTTATAAGAAATGCTATTTCTGTTTAAGTGCTGCTGGATTTTGGAGATCATTCTCGTGACTAAATATTTGTTTGCCTAATAAGAGCCCAGTATAGGGCTATGCTGCCAGTGGGTGCTCAATAAAGATTAATGGATGGCTGCGCACGTCTGTGTGGGAGTCATGTGCTTAGGATCTGCTCTATTCTCCGAAACACACAGAAATGATGTGGGGAGGTGGAAATCACAGGGTCATCACCTAACCTGTGAGTTTCTGTTGTTGACATTTAAGGGTCCCAAAGGCCCAGAAGCTGAAGGAATGGGAATATGGAGTCTAGTGTTTTCTTCAGAAATGATTGAGAAACGCTGTGAAAATTAGATTCGAGGGCCTCCTTCCAAAATTAATACCAAACATGAGAGAAAACTTGGTTCTCAGATGAGGACTGCAGAGAATCAAATATTTTTTTTAATTGACACATTTTCTATTATTATATACATATAAAGATGATGAGTAATATGCCATATCAGATGGTTTATTCAAACTGTCAGAATAAGGGCTGAAGCGTGAGTAACTTTCCAGAGACTCTTGTGAGAAATTCAAGCAGTGGAAAGTGGCAGTAACCAGTCATAAGTTCATTGACTACCCAGTCACCCCTGAAAATCTTAGTGGGGGGAAAAGATTTCCGTGATGTACATGGTGGGACATTTCTAGAGGAAAGGAAGGAGACCAATAATTGAAACTTACTTCACTAAAAAGCCAAATGTCCCTGCACTGCCTGGGTTTGTGCGCTCTGTAGAATAGGATGAGCCATGTGGCCTGGGAGATGATGCCTTCATCATGAATGATGGCTACTGAGCACCTTTCTAAATCTCAGCAGAGCTGTAAGATGTTAGAGCCCTCCCTTGCAAAATCAAGCTTTGCTTTGGCATCAGAGAAAGTGGAAAGAGGGAAGCCTCAATTACTGGGAACAGTACCATAGGTCTTGGGCTGAGCTGGGCTGTATTGACATCACGGTGTAGAGGAGAGCGTATCAGCAAGCTCATTGGATGCCCGTGATTCCAGTCCTGCTTCTGGGTCTCAGTCTCATCGTCTGCAAAGTGAGCACGTGGAGACTAGCCTTCTAGGGTCCACTCCAACTTTGCTGTTTCATGTTATCCATGATGGGTTCCTCTCTAAGATGAGCATTCCTCAACGGAAAGCTCCACGTGTCTTGAGGTTTCCAGTGAGAACTTATTTATACAATTCCTCCTTTTAAAAACTCTCCTTTCATCCCCCACTGAACTCTCTTTAGCAATAGAGAGGTCTTATAAATTTTTATAATTTGGTGCATCAGTAAAGAGTTTATTTCATTGATACATTAACCTCCCTTGCTGACATCACACTTTGCTATTTTGTCCCCCCAAAAGAAAGGTGACTTTTAAGAAGCAAGCCAGAAGGTGTGTTAGGAAAATAGAGGTTGTGGCCGGGAAAGAACATACTATGTTTTTTCTGCTTAAACATACAAAAATAAGGTAGGCCATGCGAACAAAATATTCTGAAATAAATATATATAATTATGCCCAAGATATACACACACATGTATAAAACCACTACCCTAAAATAAAAGTTAAAGGTTTGAGAAGCGGGAAGGACTGTTTGGCAGTAGCAGGCACAGCAGCTCTCTCAGCACCCAGGCGGAGAGAGAATGTGGAGACCTGGGCCAGGCTGAGCCCCACAGCCTAACCCTCGGTGTTGATTCTCCCGGGAAAGACCAGAAGGAGCTGCTGACATTTCTCTTAAAAGAATCAATGAATCTTTGTTTCCTTCTGCCTGTTCATTTGACCTTATTTTGTTTCAAAACAGAGAAGGAAAGAAAGAATGAAACGAGTCGGGTGGGGTCAAGGGTAGGCAGAAGGAACAGAGAAGATGTCGGTGGAATGGAGCCCACAGACAAGATCACAGGCCACTGATCATTTGGAGGATGTTATTGTTTGCTTGCTGTAGTCTTATTTGTTCCTGCTTCTCATTTGAGATTCTCGCCCTGATGTAATAAGTCACCACCCTCCCAGCTATCATCCCTGTATTGACAAGCAAATGTCAACCACATTTGATTGACATCCTTTGCTCCTGAATGGAAAAGTATGATTTACGCATCTATTCTACTTGTTTATTTAAAGCTGTTCTTATGTGTCTTATGTATTTGTTGCTGGGATAACTTGCTAATATCTATCTACTCTGGGGGGCTTTCCATTAATATTATAAATCCAGGCTCTTCCTTCTCCTGCTCTCCCACTGCAAATGGGGTCTTCTTTCCCATATTTTTCCTATTTTCCCCATCCCCCATCACACATGCAGGAAATGTGCTATGGAGCTTATATCTTGGGGACAGGTCTTGCCCCCCAGTACTTTTATAAACACTGCCTGTTTTATGTTAAGACTTTTGAAGGCATTTTGACAAGTGATTATTTCTCATGCATGTAGCGCCTTTAAGTAAATGCAACTTCAAATCCAATGGCAGCATCTCCTGAAAGGTTGCTAGAATTGTAAGCCTGTAAGTGGAGTACAGACGTATACATTCACCAGTTACAGCATTTGTGAAAAGAACCACCCAGCCCCCCTTTCTGTGGGCATGTTCACTGAAAGTCATTGAGAAACGTCCTTTGGCTTTTCAACACACCTTTCTGTTCTCTGGTAACATCTTATTTCATTTTAGAAGACTGGCGAGGAAAACCAGAAGGTTAAAAAAAAAAAAAAGTCACATCTACCATCTGGAATATTCTAAAGGGCCCTCGTTCTGTTAAAAGTGGCATTTAAAAAAACACCTGAAGCACCGATTGGGGGTGAGCCAGTAGAGAAATATTGTCAACCAAGCCACCTGCCTTTCAACCTTCACCTCCACCCTTCAACTGGGGCTGCTGGCTGTGGGGACCTAGGGGACTTAAGCGTGACCCTTGAGTGCTGAAGGGTATTGCACATCTGTCTCGCTCCCCCCAGGTATGTCCAGCGACAGCGCTGCCATCGCCTGAGTTCAGCAAGGGAGTATTCAGGATCTCACTGCTCATCCATGTGCAGAGAGGGAAAAAAAGAGAGGCCGAAAAAAAAAATCCCACATTGTCAGAGTAATGCCAAACTCTCTCTGAGTGGGATGAGCAGAGCAGATGCTGCTAGGAGATGCCAAAGCGGCTCCCCTTCCTCTGTGCCTTGGGTGCCTATAAATTGCTCCGGCGCGCGTTTGTCAGCCTCCTCTTCTCCTGGCAGGTGGTACCCAGGCAGAATTCAGCGTTCAGTCTCTCTCGCGCTCCGCTCCCGGCCGCGAGGCGCTCGCCGCTGCTCGCTAGCTCCTCCGCTCCAGCCCGGAGCCTCACCGAGCCGCCGGTGCCCGCCGCCGCCGCTCCGCGCGCCCCGGGGGCGGCTGGTCCCAGCTCGCGCGGCCAGCGCGGGTCTTTGGGGATGCGCCTCTGTTAGATTTGCGGTGGTTGCAAAGGAGGAAACAAACCAAAAAAAAAAAAAAGAAAAGGCAGGGGAAGGGCGAACAGAGCGAGCGAAAGAAGAGAAGGAGGAGGCAGAAAAAGGCAACTTCAGACGGAAAGTTGGTGCGAACTGGCGCAGTCTGCAAAAACGGAAAAGTCGATCGCTGGCAGCGGCGGCATAAAAGTGTGAGCGGCCCGGCGAGCGCGAGAGGCGGCGGCTGGCTCTGCCCTCCGGGTGGCCGCGCCGGCGCCGGCGGCAGCCACAGGTGCGAAGGGGTTCGCCGGAGGCGAGAGGGCGCCCTGCGCACCCCTCCCCCAGCCCCCACCCCCAGCTCGGGACTTCAGCTCAAGTCACTTGGCGTCCGAACTCCCTCCCCAGCCGCAGCCTCAGCGGGGGGAGCAGGAGCAGGCGAGGAGCGGCCGGTGCGCGCCCGCCCAGGGGAGTTGGGGTTCGCAGGGGGTTGTTTTCGGCTCTGAGGAGGTCCCCGCCCAACCATCAAAATTTTGTCCAAAAGCAGACAAGAGGATCGCCCCGCGCTGAGCCGGCTGGTGGGCAGCAGGAGGCGCCTGATCGCCGCCGGGGCGCTGGGGGTGGTGATGGTGCTGCTGCTGGTCATCCTCATCCCGGTGCTGGTGAGCTCGGCCGGCACGTCGGCGCACTACGAGATGCTGGGCACCTGCCGCATGGTCTGCGACCCCTACGGGGGCACCAAGGCGCCCAGCACGGCCGCCACGCCGGACCGCGGCCTCATGCAGTCCCTGCCCACCTTCATCCAGGGCCCCAAAGGCGAGGCCGGCAGGCCCGGGAAGGCGGGCCCGCGTGGGCCTCCCGGTGAGCCCGGGCCGCCGGGCCCCGTGGGCCCCCCGGGCGAGAAGGGTGAGCCCGGCCGCCAAGGCCTGCCGGGCCCGCCCGGGGCGCCCGGCCTGAACGCGGCTGGGGCCATCAGCGCCGCCACCTACAGCACGGTGCCCAAGATCGCCTTCTACGCCGGCCTCAAGCGGCAGCACGAAGGCTATGAGGTGCTCAAGTTCGACGACGTGGTCACCAACCTCGGTAACCACTACGATCCCACCACGGGCAAGTTCACCTGCTCCATCCCGGGCATCTACTTCTTCACCTACCACGTCCTGATGCGTGGAGGGGACGGCACCAGCATGTGGGCTGATCTCTGCAAAAACAACCAGGTGAGTGCGGGCAGGCAGCGGGGAGGGCGGGGAGGGAGCGCGCGAAGGTGCGGGCGAGAGGGAGGAGACCCCGGAAATGGGGGTGGGAGCCCGCGGAGGAAGGGCGCAGCAGCCCGGCTCCCGGGAGCGACGCGAGGGGGGACGCTGTTCCACTCTGGAGAGGCGGGGGTCGCGCACCACAGAGGGGGCCCGGCGGCCTGGAGAGGGCGGTTCCCGAGCCTAGGACCCGCAAACGGTGCGCGCGAGTGTGAGCGCGATCCTGAAGGGGCGGGAAGCCGGAGCGCGGTCCCCTGGACCTCGTGTGCACCCGGAGTCCCGGAGCAGGAAGCGCCCCCGGCCGTGGGATCCGCAGCAGCGTAGGATAGCTCTCAGGCTTTGCCGGGAACGGGAGCGTCGGGGAGAGTCCGGAATGGGCGTGCCAGGGTGACAAACCCAGGGGAGAAAGACAGGGGCCCGAGGGAGAAAGAAGGTGCCCGAAGGAGCGAGGCCAAGGGGGTCGCGTCCAGGGCCGAAGCGGGACCTTGCACCGGCGGTCTCAAGGCCCCTGCGGCGTCCCAGAAAGGGAAACTCCTATCAGCAAATTCAAGACGCAAACTCTGGTTAGTTTTCAGCCTAAGGAGAAGGGGGAGAGGTAATGAGTGTTGATAACAAAAGGAAAAGTTGACACTCCTGGGTTTACGCCGTAAAACACGCGCCCAAACACAGAACCCAAACTCCGCTGGCTGGAGTAGAAGGACGCACAGGCAGGTGGCTAGGAGGGCGGGCGGCCTGAGCCCAGCCCCGGGGCTGTGGGCCTCACTGCCAGAGTGAGGGGCTTTGCAGCCCCTGCCTCGTAGCTCACACTCGAAAGTGGCCTTGGCCTTGACTGTGAAATAGCCTCAGATTAGCCCTCCGCCACGGCCACGAGGACTTGCTCTCCTGAGCTGGTCGGCGCTGGCGTAAGGGCCGTGCACGGGTCTGCAGTTTTATGTTGGGGCCGCTCTACCGTTTGCCTGAGAAATTCACGGTTATTGCAAAAGCAGTGTCCGATCTCTTAGTCACAAGGGGAAACTAATATTTGTAACTACCTAAAAGTGTAATCGGATCCTCTGCACGCGCTGAATCAGCAGCCCCCTTGGGGAGAGGCCTTGCAGCCTGGGCTAAGTTTTTCGGCTTTAACTCTGCTTACCGGGTGGCCGAGGGAAGGGCTCCCGACCCTGCCACGGCCAACTTTGATTTAACAAGGGCTATCGGGCTTCATTTCAGGTCGCGGGCCCTGGAATTCAGACCTGTTTAGCTATAACCCAGGTTTCTATTAAGCACCGTTAAAGCAAGATTTCTTCCAAAGACCTGAGTGTCAGAATTCTTTCAAGAGTTTAAGGCGAACATCCTAAATGTCTAAGAGAGAGAAAGGACAGAAGATCTTGTCCCTGCCCCTTCACGCGGCCCCTGAGTTCCAAAGGAATTTAGAAGTAAATGGCTTAAGGGGCTCTCAGGACAGGTGGAACAAAAAGGGGAGAAATGGCCACCAGGAGGCACTGACAGGGTTGTTTATTATAGTTACTATGCACGAAAATAATATTAAGATAAAATAAAAATTATTCACAGAGCCGTGGGATAGTTGTAGGTAAATGGCCATGAAGGGCATGACTCACTGGGCCAGAACAGAGCGCTTGTGTCACCCTTACAAAATGGTCTAGGAACAGCCCCTCAGCCGGCAGCGATGAGGCACCCATTTATTTACTAATTGGCTCTCTTCTGACTCAAAGGTTAGGTCTGGAAAATACTATCGGCTGAAGAGCTTGTTTTTAGAGGTATTCGTTAAAATGGAATAAGATTCAAGTTTTGTCAGCCAATGTATAAAAACGCTCACATCTTTAAATATCTGGAAATTGCAGTTGCATGAAAAACCGGGGAACCATTTAAATTAGTTTAAGTGTTGATGTTTAGACTGCTGAGCCCGTGTGTGTTGCACTGATCCCAAGAAAATCATTCCATATAGTGTTCTATGGGCATTTTGTTTTTAAAATTAGTTCATTGTTTGGAGTGTAAGATGCTCCTTGGTATCATTCTAGCATGTGCATTCCATGAAGATCAGGGAAAAAGTAAGGCAGACCAGCTGACCTTATAATGTAGAATGTTTGCCATTGGCATGATGATGCTGCTCCCTCTGCAGAAGGTGTGCAACAAGTAATTCAGAAAAATAAATACAGTAGCGAACAATATATTTTCCAGTTCAGCATGGACTATTTTGGAAAATGGTTATCACAGTATTAGTGTTAAGGAATTTTATCTCTAGAATAGGGCTGTTTTGTAAAGTCTGGTGTGCAGGCAGTTGCAAATGAGAAATCTCATAAAATCTTTTTAAAATTAATATTAGATAAATAGTTTATCCTTGATTTTCAATTATGCTCTCGTCTGATCACTTTTTTGAATGGCAGTTTCCCCCTCTGAGCTGACCTAATGTGTTTTCATAAAACAGAAACTCAGAGATCCATGTCAGCGTAATGTTCTGTGGATTAAGTGGATTTGGGAAGCACAAAAATTAAACTAAAAATGTAGTTCACTCTAGGATAAAGGGATGCCTCTGGACCGTAACCATATGAGAACCATTTTATTTATGCTTTGTGTTGAATGCAGGATCACAGATGGAAACATCAAAGGCCAGTAAATTAACCTGATGCGCCACTTAACCTTTTGTTTATGGTTCCACAGAAGTACAATGAAAATGAAATTATGAGAACATCAGTAGCAATTAATTAAATTAGCAAATGTTACCATAAATATTGTCTCTAATGATAAGCCCTCACTAATAAGATAATGCTAAAGCTGTACAACCTATTACATTCTCACAAACATATCAGTAAAAAGACCACGGTTTTCATATTCCCTATGAAGCCATCAACCTAAATTTCATCTTCCCATTTGTTGAGAGCCCGTGACAGTGCATATTAAAGGTAAAAGTTGGACTCAAATAGCTTTACATAGAGACAGGAAATATTTTTAATATGTTGGTATACTTTAGCAGAAAGCCTGAATAGAAAAGTATTGCTGTTTGAATACAATCACTATCATAAGCCACTGTAGTAAAAGCTAAAACTGGCTCAAGATGAGAACTATAAAATAATTAAAGACCAATTTTTACTCTTAAGAATTTATTAGTTCTGGCACCAGTGAACATGAGATATATTGGAAACAAAGAATAGTTTGTGGGTTGATATTCATTGATTAGCAAGATTAATGAAATGTCAAATTAATTATTTTTTTAGGGGCAGTGAACCATGCACTAAAGATCAGGCAGAATCTAAATGGTTAACTTGCAATAGGAAAAGATTTTAGAGTCCATTTAGTTAGAAATGGGTCTAACGGGCTCAGGAAAGGATGCATCATATTCCCAGAGAAAATGCTGAAATCAGTGTACATTTAGAAACCTGAAAATAGCCTCATGGGTGGATGCATTACCTTCCTCAATAGTTTGATGGCTTAAAGGAGGAATTGTTGGAAGTCACTGAGCTGGACACCAGAGCATGAAATTTCAAGTTCCATTATACGTCTAGAGTATAATCAGGTGAGCAGACACACTAAAGTCATGCATATTACACTGGAGTATGGCAATGATTTAATTGAGAAAATCTAATGGTACGCTATAGGTTAAAATCTTAGAGAATCACTTTCATTACAAAGCAGTCACACTGGCTTTATCCAACAAAGGAAGTGAAACCCCAAAGGGTAACCTTCCAGTCGGTGGCATCACACTAATGCATTTGCAGGTTTCTGTGGTTACACCTGCTGAATAAAAATGGGAACATTTACATGGATTTGTGACTATACCCTATAGAATAAAAACTGCAGTGTATATATATTTAAGATGATTGTCTCTAAATCAAGTGATTTTGATGAGTCCTGGTTCCCAAATGCCTCCCTATAGAAAACAATGTTAAAGCACAATACCTATCGAACATATACTAAATACCTGAAGCACTGAAGAAAATGTGTCTGCTTATTAATAATAGTTGAGAAGTATATTATGGATTGATAATATATTACTAATATGGCTAATTACTATTTTATATTTTAATTTTTCTCATCCATTACAAATCCACACATAAAAGAAATCAGGTTGTAATAGCACTATCCTCCTTGCAGATTTCTTTTTCCTGGGAATTAATGACTAGGTGAAATTAATGAATCAAAGCCTTCAACTCCCATAAACTTCTGATTAATTCCTAGGAAATATTACGACATTAAATTGTATTATTACTTAATGGTCAAAACAAACCACCTCACTCAATTGGTGTGTACATTTGAGTCAGTGCTTCTGAGCATAATTGCATAGTATATGGCGTTCATTCTATTAGTGTCAGCACAGCGTTAAGCAATTCTAAATCCTTAAAGCCCTTTTCTCCTTTTGTTACATGATATCGAGAAAGAAATTTTAAAAATACTACTCAAATTACTTTACAAGTTCAGCAGTGTCAAAGAGCCTTCTCCTTTTTTAACATTTCAGCATTAATGTGAGAACATGCCACATGAAAATTTAATTTGAAAACCTATCATTTCAGTTTTGAAAGAAATGCATGGAAATTCTTGACTTATGTCTCATTTCCCTCATTTTGCCAAGTGATAAAACCCAGCATATTGTACCCCAAGTCATGCATTATTACATAGCGCAGGTTTACAAAACCACTAAATCACTTGCTACGTTATTCAGGGAAATATCATTACAGTGGAATGGAAACAAGCCACAAAGTAGAAGATGTTTTACCAAAATAAATCAAATACAAGTCTGCCTATTGAAACATTTTTTTCCAAGGCAGAATCAAAATGTAGCTAAATGAATATGAAGCCTAATTTGAGTTGAGGATGTGACAGAATGTCCATATTACTTGATAAGATGGGCAATTTGACTGTTTCGAAGTGTCTATCAAGTCACTAATGAGATTACAGGCTCAACCTGAGTGGATTATTAACAGCCTTCATCCTCAAAGCAAACCACACATTTAGAATCACCTAGATATAAAAGGGTATTCAGTGAGATCATTCGAAAATTCTAGAAATTTTAGAGACCTCAAATCATGGAAATTTAGTTCCTTCTGTAACTTTTAGATATGTTGAAATTAAATAATTGATTTCAGTGCACACGTCACAATTACGTCATAAAAAGGCACAAATAGAAAAAGAACTCTGAAAACCTGAGTGATATAACCAAAGATGTGTAAAGGGGTTAAGCTTCTGGTAAAAGGGGCTTTACCTGAATTCAATTTTGAAAGCCCCAAGTCAAAAGGCTTTCTTCCCTTTTTTCTTCTTCTATAGTAGACTTAGAGTGGTGGTATTTCTTTGAGTCTTTACCTACTATGGATCTCAATTTTCTAATAATCGTGAGAACCAACTGAAGTTTGGATTGAACTTCTGTCCTCATAAACAGCTGGTTATAATATTACTATGTGGCTTAAATTAAAATGCAAAAAAAATATTATTATTTCCATTTCAGGAAGTGATTGGGCATAAAGATTCAGGGAATTAGAAAAAGTCGTGATTTAGGAAGAGGATAGATTGGTATGCATTGTTTACAACATATAGTAAGAAAAGACTACTGGAAAGACGTTCACGAAAGCACTATTTTCTCCTTTCCAGTGACATAGGTCAAACTGTTACAAAGATATCCTCATAAAGCTCCAAGTTCAAGGTGGACTTTCCCGCGCTAAATTCTGTGCCGTGGCAGCAAGTCTGCTTATGATGCTGAGTGAACAGCAAAAAAGAAAACTTGAGAATTCTCTGTGACAAATTCTAATTCTTGTCTGTTTCACATAGGTGCGTGCTAGTGCGATTGCCCAAGACGCTGATCAGAATTACGACTACGCCAGTAACAGTGTGGTTCTTCATTTGGAGCCAGGAGACGAAGTCTACATCAAATTAGATGGCGGGAAAGCCCACGGAGGAAACAACAATAAATACAGCACATTTTCTGGATTTATTATTTATGCTGACTGATAACGCAGAAACTAAGCTTATTAGTCTGAGTTTGGACACTGGATTCGTACAGCTAACGTCAATGAATCAAGGATCCCAGGGGATGCCAGTTGCGGGGCCCCTCAGTTGTGTATATGTGGGGAATTCAAATGCTACCTGACTCACATCTGTATACTCAGAAACATGATGTAAAAAAATATTAAAGGCAAGATAAGCAGATGTGTGATTCTCTACCGCCAAAGCAAATACTCCTTATCGTTAGTGTCCATGTGAATGAAGTCCTATATAGATCACAAATTTTTATAGAAAAATCTAAGACACTGAATTATTTCTTCAATATATATGATCCTTTGGTGTACTGTGATCTTGCTGCTTTTATCCATTTGTCAGCTTTGGTTCTCGTGAGTTTCCTTGCTTATTATGACACCTGGAGTCCATTCATAGTGTGGGGAAGAATGATTTTACCCTGCAGGAGAAGGTCGAATTGAAACAATGCTGCTTGTGTCCAAAGAAATCGTTTGCCTTGTACTCTTGTTAACTTTAGAGCTAGACCTGGGAATGATTCAACTTCAAGCCTTAACCTGGAATTTTCTGGATTTGAGGGAATTCCCAAGCGTATGATCATTTTCACATTTTCTTTTTCTTACGAATTTTCTTTTCTCTCTTCTCTGGTGATAGTCTTTAAAAATAGAGATGGAAATTGTATCATAGGATTACCCTCCCAGTGTGAAAATGTGTAATTATGTATGGTATTTAGAAATCCCCTGTGTGTCCATTTTGTCAGTGGAATGCGTTTAGATTTACTTGGAAAATTGGAGATATTTATTCTTTGGTGTTAAATCAGACTGAGGCTTTTGCCTTCTTTGGAACAAAAGAGTATTCTTAATCCAATGCACAGAGGTTTAATTTGAGCTAATGCATGCGTCACCAAGGGGACACTAAGTAAGGCCTTCAAGTAGTTACTACAAATCGTGGCCTGAGGTTATTTCAAGATGAACAATTTCACATATAACCGATATGACGACAAAGTGTATATATTTTATACAAATACCTGCTACATATATATGTGTTTATATATATATGTTCGATGAAATATAATATATATATGGCTTCAGACCATAGGCACAGTGGCTGTATAGCCTCAAAAATTTAATTTAAAAAAATGTGTCTACACACACACAAACACACATAAATTATTTGACTTATTTTGGATTGAAGTATATTTTGGATGACAAAAATATATGGAGTAGCAAAATAATTTAAATGACTTATCTTTTAAGAGTTACCCAGAAAATTAAATTTTATTAGGTTACAATGCCCTATACATCACATGTCTGTAAATTAAGCCTGTGGCTTCTTCATTACCATATGCCAATCAATACTTTCACTGCATTCTGTGGCAGACTGTTAATATGAGGACTAGAGAAACAAAGTGGTTCTTCTTTGCCACGTTTATGAATTATATGCATTTGAATTATCAGTTTTTTTCTTTTTTCTCAGGTGGATTGAAGCTCACAGTAAAGTAGACTTTGAGAATAGTGCAAATCCTTTCTCTCTGGTTAAAATACACTGCCAAAAGCCATCTCTTTAATCTAAGAAAAAGATTAAAAATGCATGTTGATATATCCTAACTATTAGACAACTTCGACTATTACAGTGAAAAATCTGTTCCCCTCTCAGTTGTCTGTGAAGACTCTTTGACAAGTAAATTTCAAAAACAGAGCTTTAAAAATCTGCTATTTTTTTTTTTTTTTACTGGTGAAGGACATTTGCATTTTTTCATTTAAAGGAATTAGTTTGTTCTCCTGGCTCATTCCTCTTGGGTACTTTCTGTTCTAATACACAGAAAGCTTGATCATCTTTGATCCACAGAAATATCTTTTATTTAGCAAACCGCAACTTTCCAAAAGAGTTATGCATGGCGTTCCCATCTGAAGGTGCTGTTTGCTTGGTTTAAATGCCTTGGTCTGAGTAACTGTCATGATTTATATGATTAAAAGCAGCCCATTCATCAAGAATAATGACTAATTCTATTTGGCCTTTCTAATATGTAAGATAACTCATAAAGGAGTTGCAATGGATTTTATTTCATTTAACAATATATATTTATCAAAGAGGAATTGGCACCAAGGGTTTGGAGAATTGTTTTTTAGATAACAAATAACATAGTAAGGATTCAACCAAAATATTAATTTATAAACAGCATTCCACAGCAACTAAGAGTTTTTCAAAAGGCTTTATTTACACAAAACTTCAGGGCTGGGTACCTTTTAAAGAGTAGGCTCCAGAATCAGACTGTCATTTCTAATAGATCTGACCTTTCCTTCAGATAAATAAGCATTATTTTTTCTGTTGAGGCCCAAGGAAGAACAAATAAAAGGTAAAGGAAATAAAGGGAATATATATAAGGCAAACATTTCTTTTTATTTGCATTATATATTATTAATTAATTAAATTGTGGCCTTTGTTATTATAAATGTAATGATTCATTAAACTATATTATGTAATATATTTTGACTTTTATGATTGAATTTTTCTAATTCAGTACTATGTTATATGTTCACACCCCCTTATGCAAATTTTTCAAAACACAACAAAATTAACAGCAAAAATGGACACCAGAAACCCAAAGGCAACAATACCGATTTGTTATAAGTATATACAGATAGGTGACAGCATATAATTAACCTTCCACGCTATTTTTACCGTTGTGAATTGGCAATTGTATTACAGTATCCTTTAGGAAAAGAAAAAAGACTCAAAATTTAACTTCCCTTGCTGCAGAAGCTATTTTAAAGTGCCATATTATTCATTAAGCATTAATTAAAGAACAGCAGGATAATTAGTAGGATCATCAATATTACAAGAAACATTAGATTGCTCCAGAAGGGGGTAATTTAACTAGAAACACTTTAAATTTTCTCAAGTAGTGCAGCTGATAGATTAAGAAAACAAAACAAAACAAATTAGGGGATATAGACCGTAGATCATTGTTTGGAAATAGGTACTTGCATATTTATATTGTTAAGGCAAAACGGTAGGGCTCAATTAGGCTCAGTAACTCCCTAAAGGTGCAGATGTAATAGTCGGCCAGTTTCTGAGAAGGCAAAACTCTTCTAAATCTCATAAAAAGGAAATGATCTGTCATTAGTCCTACGTAGCTCCGATTAATATCTCACAGTGGGTTTGAAATCACTGAATGTTCTCTGCAAGCTTTATGCTCAAGGTGTGAATTCATAAACAACCAGCCTATTTGAAAGTTAGCCATTGCTTAGGGTTCTCTATTAGGATCTTATCCAGTACATTCTCAGTTATACCTCTAAGCAACATTTTAGGAACAATGTTGGTGAGTATATGAGAATAGCCGTGACCTCCATATTTCACCAGCCGATGCTTTGTGTGTATGTCATGTGCCATCAGAATTCGATCTTCATAGCCTTCATCCACCAGAAGACGCACCCTGTGAAAAATGTTAACTCATTATGTGGCATTTGTCTCGCATTTAACATTTTCAGCGTGCTTTAAACTTTTACTCATAAACGTATTGTGCTTGTCGTAAAGATACCACCTTCCACTGTGGCACGTGTACTGGGAGACCCTTACTAAATATTCCATGGTGATGATAAAGATTTTGATGTATCCTAGTAGGAACATGATCCTTATTCCATGTGCACAGAAATTTCTAGCCTATGATACTTACGACAATGCCCGGCAATACTGCATTAAAGATAGCTTCTTATAGGATATGCCAGTGTGAATGAATGGCCCCTTCAGCATTTCACTAAATAACTTTGCTCTGGATTAGTGGCCAGCTTTCCACTCTGCAATGCCTCTTAGTGGGCCCATTTTTCAGACCTCATTCTCTGTCTCCTTTTTCCTAGCAAATAAAGTCAATGACTATTTGTTATTAAAATAGGGATATGGAAGGAATCTTCGTACAAGTAAAACATTCTGGGAGCAAACTCAGTGGCTTTGAAAGTGAAGGGCAAATGATAAGTTAAACAGTCATTTTTAAAAGGTCAGCAACGGCCCCTCTGTATTTTGAGCATTTGTCCCATTGAAGTCCAGGAGAATTTTGACTTAGTAGTAGCCTTACAACGTTGGGTTAAATTGACCAATAAAAATTTACTCTGTCTTCCTTCCATTTCAACAAGATTGCTATAAATAATGAGGCTTTTCTTTAAATCTATAGTCAGTTGACTAAAGAACGGCTTACTGACTACTGTCTAAGCATCCACCCCTCTTTGCCTCGTTAAATGCTGTAATCTCCAGCGTGAGTCACTTCCTGACGGCCACCATCCGTATGTGTCTGGACTCTGGGCAGCGTCTGTCGTGACTTCCATGGGTCTCTGATGGCAGGCAATGCAACTTGGGGACAATGACTCTTCTCTGGCATTTTCTATATAATCTTGTCAGTCTTTAGATTCCCAAATGGATCTAGATGGATGGATAGCATCTTCTTCCAAGGGCTAATTATTTGAAAGGTATCCTTTTTGTTTCGATAGCATTTCTTGCCAGTCCAGTGCATGAGTCATATTTAATAACTACCACACTAAGCAAAATGTGGGATACTGCCCAAAAAAACCCCTGAAGCACAAAGCCCTGGCTTCTGAGAACATACATGTTAAATTATAATTAATTTAATATTAATAATGTTAATTATAATAATTATAAGATTAGATCTTGTGTTTGCAGGTCAAAGGAAGGCAAATGCCACAGAAGAAAAGTTAACCTGGGCATTTTGTCTGGAAATCTGCGTTCACATCACATGTACTCCATGTGTGTCCTATAAGTAGATGGAATGCTATTTGTGTCACCAAGAGGCATGGTTATCTGCCTCTTTAAAATGTGTATAATGTCTTAGGGGGCTGGCCTATGGCCTAGTGGTTAAATTCAGCAGGCTCCACTTCGGTGGCCCAGCTTCAGTTCCAGGCGTGGACCCTCACCACTCATCGGCAACCATACTGTGGGGCCAAGCCATATACAAAATAGAGGAAAACTGGCACAGATGTTAGCTCACGGCAAATCTTCCCCAGCAAAAAAAAAAAAAAAAATGTATAATGTCCAAAAGTTCTGATGAGAAGTTACTTTTGGAACAAACTCTCTTTAAGGGAATTATCTAAGAGATTTATGTAGTCATTTATGAAAAAAAGAGGAAGATTTGACAGAATGTGTATACAATCCTGAAACTTAGTTTGACAAACCTTGATCCACAACTGAAAAGGAGTATCATATTACAGGAAATTTTAGGGTACACTTTCCCCCTTATATGTTCTGAGCATTTCCCAAAGTTTTTGTCTCTTTTCCTTGTTTGAGAAAAAAATATCTTATTACTACAGAGGCATATCGTATGGATAGGAGGTCTTATGTCGTCCCTGAAATGCAGTTATTGAATTGTGACATAGTAAGAAAAGAATATAATGGATAAGATACTCATTTGAAAATGGGAACCCTTAGAAGTCATTAAGTCGAGAATCTGGAGACTAGTTCTCTCATAAGAAAGATAATACTGTGGGTCTAGAAACATAATTACATCCTGACTATCAAGAAACTGCCTGGTCACTCCTAAAATCAGAGATCATCTCTCATGCTGTGCCATTGTATGGAAGAACAGTAGTTCCAGAGATGCTGCCAGAAGGAAGGAGCCACTACAGATGAGAAGACAAAAAATCAAGGTAATTATAGAAATACAAATGAGTTAGTGTTTTGCAAACAAATATTAGAGAGAGACTACAAAGTGTGAAAAGGCAGAGATATAATAAGATTTGAGAAATGGAGCATAAGATTGAAAACAGGTGTTAGACACAGACTTTCTGGGGCTGAAAACCAGAGGTAGGCAGAAGCGTGCTTCTGTGTTCTTGCACTTGAGAGCTTTAGGGCTTCTAGGGCTCAGAAAAGGACTGCTGATGAATGATCAAAATCAAGTGCCAGAGAGATAGGGGACAAGGGGGTACTGGGGCACACACAGCCAAAATGTCATTCAGTAATTACCGTGAGCTGCGCTTGAGTCAAGTGACCTAATGCACAATTTTAATTTAAGGAAGATTAAGTATACATACAAACACATATACATAGATATACATAAACACACAAGTATATTATATATAATTTTTGATGTATTTCTGTAAATCTAGAATGTTTACATTTGGCACAATGAAAGCTGACCAAAATTAAGTTCCCGTTCTTGAATTTGTAGCCAAAAGGAGCTAAGAAGGAATACAGGGGGAGCTGATGGTCGTCCTTCCCCAATATCTCCTGCATAGATCCCTCTCTGCAGACCCATCGCTGTTATTCCACAAGGTCTGGGAGCCTCATGGAAGGCATACGGGTGCAAAAGGTACACCTGACAGCCACAAACAGGCTGAGAAAAAGGAAGCGGGTCCTGGGAGGAACCTTCCTATTTCCAAGGTGAATTATAAAATGTGTGTTGAGGGCATTCTTCAGGAAATCATGGTTTTGAGATCATGAAAGATGAGAAAGACCTACCCCAGCACCCCATTTTAAATTCCAGAGAATAGTCGCCTCTGAGTATGACACACCTACTAGGGCCCTAGGGAAACCTGTTTGCCTGTATTGAATGGTGCTCCTGGGCAAGTAAATTAAAATCATAAAACTAAAAAGAAACAATAAATCTGTTTATCAAATAAAAAGGGGCTAGCTTCATTGATCAGGGCAGCCAAAGCAGATTGCTCATGTAGAGCTGAGCATCTCCATATTTATGTAACTAACGCA